GGGGGGGGGGGGGGGGGGGGGAACTGAGCCGAGCAGCGGAGGCCTGCTTTCCGTACCAAGCGCCAGCGCCTATCTTTCTCTGTCTTTTTCCCACTGCTTGGGCTTTTCGCTGGCCGGGCGCCCCACATGGCGCGATGATGCACACCCGTGTGTTGACCCTGCCCTCGTTGTCTGGCCGCCTGCCTGCCGACCAAAAGACTTCTCCCTGCCTGGCGCGTACTACCACTGCACGCTGGATGTCACCGAGGCCGACTCGGCCGGGGTGTTCAGCTCGCGGATAAGCCTGCTTCGTGGGCACTTTGCCCTGCTACGCGTATCTCGGAAGGTATGCACACATGAGCGCGCACATATGTGCACCTGCGGTTGCAGTTGCATTTGCACGGGCCCATCGGCCACCGGCCGCGAGGTCTTGCATGTTGACCCTCCTTCCGTGTCCTCCCCCTGGTGCTGGGGCAATAGCGTTTCCCTCGCGGCGTCCGAGTCAGGGTTTGGCCAACACTGGCGGCCGCCGATGCACCGACCCTGCGCTGCTTCCAGTTCCGGGACTCCGGGCTCATTGCCCTTGGCTCGGCCGAGTCCGGCCCTGGCACCCTGTCGGCGATGCTCGACGTGCATGTGGAGGTCCGCCATGCGACCGGGTCGCCTGCTCCTGGGGACATCCACGGCATCGGGTTTGTCCTTGGCGATGCCTCGGCCGCGGTGGCCCTCAATCTGGAGAAGGTCCTCGACAATACTGGCCAGCTTGTGTGCGTGCCTGGCTCTGGGACTTGCCTGTCTTATTTTATCCCCCTCCCCTCCCCCTTCGCTCGCGTTTCCTCTCTTTGGCCTCGTCCGCTCGACTGCCGGCCCTCTCCCTGACATGTCCCGTTACCTGCATATGCACATGCACACACGCATGCATACGCACACACACACACACACACACAACGACATGCAACGACACACACATAACAACACACAACACACACACACACTCATATACACAGTCCCAGGCCCGAGTCAAAGTCGCCTGCCAAGGAGAAGCCCACGCTGCCGGTTGCAACGACTGCCACGACCAATGCCCGTCGGCCCATTTCGCCCGCGTCGCCCATTTCGCCTGCTCGGGCGTCTCGAGAGCCGGCTGATCCTGCCCTGGACCCGGCTCGGGCGATTGCCGAGCTCCGACAAATCATCGCCCAGCATGAGAAGGTTCTCCACCACTTGGCGGCGGCCACATTGTCCCTGGGCCCGGGGGCCGAGGACCCAACCTTCGAGCCGCCAAACCCGGCGGACGGGCGATCGCCCCTGGACCAGCTGTATGAGACGCTCAAGGCGCGCCAGCACTCGCGCGAGGCAACCTTCCTGGCCCGGCATCAGGGCTCGGGGGCCGAGCTGCTCGGCGCGACCCCGGCCACGGTCGAACCCCCGGAGGGGCTACTCCAGCGGGCCCTGAGCGCCGTTCCACTTGGCGGCCTGCGTGAGTGGCTTGGTGGCAGGCTCGCCCCTCGGCACCCTCCGTCCGGGGGAAGCGCCATTTTCCTGTGCGGCGAGTGCGGCAGCACCCAGGGAGGCCCGATCGGCGGGCCGGGCTCCGGAGCAGGCCCCGGCGACACCACCAGCGCCGGGGGGCTGCTGGGGACCTTCTCCTCGTCGCTCTGGCTGCCCGGCTTCGGGAAGCACTACCCGACGCGGCGGCGCCCGGGCACCGCCGGCCCCGCCATCCAGGGCGGCCCGGTGCCCGGGAATTGCCCGCACTGCGGGTGCCCGATAGCCGTCGGCCCCAACGGAGCGGCGGGCCCGCAGCCCTCGGCCTCGCTATCCACGCATCGGCTCTTCGGCCTCGGGGCCACCGGGTCCCTCGAGGAGGAGGATCTGGCCCCCCTGCCGCTGATGCTGATGCTCATCGCCCTGGCAGCCTTGTTCGGGTATCTGGTGGGGGCGTGGATTGTCCGTCGCGGCGGGGGGGCCGGTGGAGCCGGGGTCGGAGCCGATCCCGGTGCCATTGCCAGCCACTAGCGCATGTCCCTCTCTCTCTCTCTCTCTCTTGTGATCCTTCTGCGCGCGCTTCGGCCGGCCGGCTGGCCGCAGCCGAGTGCGGAGAGTCGCGATCGCAGGTGGCCGTCCTCCCGGCTTTTTTTTCCCCCTCCTGCCCCTCGGCTGGCGACACCCTTGTGCCCCCTCTCCCGCGCGGAGACATACTATACGAGCCTTTCTTGGATGCGTTTGTGCATCTTTTTGCCTTCTCCCCCCTTGCCCTCCTGCCTTTCGGCCCCCAAGCCTGGCCGTCGTGGATGTACCACTGTGCAGATCCGGGCGGGAGCATACACATGGAACTTGCTCGGGCGCATGCACGCATGCACCCTGCAAACGCGCGTGCTGTGCCGCATACCGGGGCAAGCCCGCTTGCTTCCCGGAGACAGGGAAATGGACAGGTGCACACATTTGCATACATACGGGCGCGGGGGGCGGGGGGGGGGGGGGGATATGCACGCGTGCAAATGAACACAGCCGCATTTGCGTGCCGACTTTTCATTCGGAGGATCTCAAGGACAAACAGGGGGGAGGGGGCCAGAGGGGAGAGAGAGAGAGAGAGGGGGGGGGGGGACAGATGACGGGGACCGGCCAAGGGAAGGCCACAGACCCGAGCGGGCCCTGCTACCACCCAAGATCGAAGTCTTCGTCCTGGTCGGCCAGGTAGGAGGTGGAGTCCGGGCTGCCATGCTGCGCGGCGGTGTCGCCGGTCGTCGGAGACACGGCGTCGTTCGCGGCATCCCCCTCGCCGGCAGGCGGCGATGGCCCCTCCCCGGGGGTGGGAGCATGCCCGGAAGCGGCCGGCTGGCCTGGCGCACCGGGCAGGTGCCCGGCGAAGCTGGAAGGGGTGCCCCCGAGCCCGGGACCAGGCGCCTCTTCGGCCGTCCAGTGGAATGTGCTTCCGGCGTCGCCGGGCGACGTGACCCCGCCCGGGGCCGGGCCACCGGGGCCCTCGGTGGCCAGCTGCCCGGACAGCTGCCGAAGCTCGTCCTCCTCCATGTCCGAATAGTCCGACTCGTGGTGATCGCCCTCCATGCCGTAGAACATGGCCATGACATCCGGATAAGCCTGGGCCGGAGGGTGCTGCGCGAGTGCCGAGCCTGCTGCCACCGTGGCCGAGGCCGAGCCATCGGCAAAGCCGGCATCCTCGGGAGCCTCGGTCGACTTGGCGGCGGCTGCGGCTGCGGCGGCGGCCGCGGCAGCGGCCGCCGCTTGCGACCCAGTATCCGTGGCCCCGCGGGCCGACGCCTCCAGAGTCATTTGCATGAGGCCCGAGATGGCCATCATATCGACCGTCGGATTGGGCGGCATATGCGGCGTGAAGGGGAGGTTGGGGTTGGACTTGGGTGGGGCGGTGCTCGTGTAGCTGACTCGATGCGAATAGGACACCAGGCTGTCGACGGTCATCTTGGCTGTGTGTGTGTGTGTGTGTGTGTGTGTGTGTGTGGATGTGTGTGGATGTGTGTGGATGTGTGTGGATGTGTGTGGATGTGTGTGGATGTGTGTGGGTGTGGATGTGGGTGTGCGTGCGGAGCTGGGATTAGCAAGGGGTACCCGAGGGCGCTGGACGGGGTCCAGCCTAAGGCACGGAGAAAGAGAGAGAGAGAGAGAGAGAAAGGGAGAGAGAAAAGGGGGACTGAGAGAAAAAACACGCACCCTTGGAAGCCATATCCATGAGGGCCAGGCTCTGCTGGGCCATTTCGGCATAGTGGTCCAGCTGCGTCTCAGATGAGTGGAGCAGTTGCAGGGCATTGACGATATCCCGCTCGGCTGATTGATACGCCTCCTCAATCAGGTGAATGCGCCGTTGCATCATCTGGTGCAGGTGGACTGGGGAGGACGGCGAGCAGGAGGAGGGAATCAGAGCCGGAAGCCCGCCAACACCCCGGCCCGGGGACGGGGACAGGGACAGCCATGCCAAGGCCGGGCCCGGAGGCCAAAGAAGGGAGAAAACGCACGCTCATCGAGATCCCGCTGGAAGATGGAATCCACCTCGACCAGGGCATCGGTCACACTCAGCACGCGGTGGGCGTTGGCCCCGATGGGTGCTGTGACAGTTCGGCTGCCGGCCGGGGTGAGCTCTGCCCGAGGTGCGGCGCTGTCCCTCCCATGCGGGGAGCCGACCCCAAGGGCAGCCCCGGTGGGTGCCGGCCGCGAGTCTGTCCCAGGATCCGCCGGGCCAACGCCCTGCGTCGCCAGGGTATTCACGGCCAGGATCAGCTCCTCGGCCAGCTTGGCATACGCGTCGAGGGACACCAACAGCCGTGTCTTCAGGTTGGCCATGGCGCTGGTGGAGCTGGCGGATGGAAGACACGAGGAGAGGCGCGGCGCACGTGCGAACGGAAGGGAGGGAGGAAAGCCGCGAGGGTAGGGGCCCGAGAGGGAGAGAGAGGGAGCGCGCGCGCGAGAGAGAGAGAGAGAGAGAGAGAGAGAGAGAGAGAGAGAGAGGGAAAGGGGGGGAGGGAGGCAGTGGGAGGGAAGGAAAGGAGGCGCAAGGGCGGGGCAAGGGGGGGGGGGGGGTTCCTGGGGTGGACTTCAAGGGCGGGGCGAAGCGGGCTGAGGGGCGGGGATGCTTTCGACCAGGCGAGGAACCGGGGCGCGGAGTGGGGTGGAGGTCGCGCACCGGCCGAACGATCGTCGGGGGAGGTCGCCTTTAGACTAGTCGGGTCATGTGATCCGCGTCCGGCTATTTTCCACACACATAAAATCCCCGCATCCATGGGAGTGGGCTGGGGGGAGAGGGGGGGGGGGGGATGGCGCAGGGGGCGACCAAAAGGCAGGGGGGAAGGGCTGGGCAAGATAAAAGTACAAGGACTACCATCCGGCGCAATGGGGCGAGGGGCAGTCTGAGGTGTGAGAGGGGAGGGACATCTCTGTGCGCAACCGGGAGGCGGTCGGGTGTTGGAAAGTGCGCGTGCGTGTGCGTGTGTATATGCTTGAACACACATGCACCGCGCACGCACGAGGGCAGGAAAAGAGGAGCAGCCAATGTGAAAACGCCGGTAGCTGTGCAGAAAGAGAGAGAGAGAGAGAGAGAGAGAGAGAGAGAGTCGCGACGTCAGGACGGCACAAGGCACAAGGAGAGCTGTGTGCGTGTTGACGAGCGCATGAGTGGGTTCCGCTCAGAGCTTCTGGTAGTCGAGCTTGGTCTCCAGCTGCTTGGCCTCGGCCAGCTTACGAGTGGCCTTCATGAAGTCCTCCTGAATGACATAGTCGCGCTCATCACGGATGGCAAACATGCCGGCCTCGGTACAGATGTTCCGGAGATCGGCACCGTTGAAGCCGTCCGACAGCTTGACAATGGCCTCGTAGTCTGAGAGAAGGAGCGCATGGGGAGAAGGAGAGGGAGAGAGAAAGCAGGGATGTCAGAAGGCGTGCGGGGGAGAGAGAGAGAGAGAGAGAGAGCCGGAGAACGTCCAGCCGTGCGCGTGTATGTTTGTCTTCAGATGTGCCCACACACAGGAGGCGGTAGAGGGAATGACGCACCAATCTCCTCCTCGCCACGGGCAAGAACCGACGCATGAATGCGAAGGACATCCAGGCGGCCCTGCTCATTGGGCAGGGGGATCTCGATCTTGCGGTCCAGACGACCAGGGCGCATGAGCGCCGGATCCAGGGTATCTGGCAAGTGAAGAAGAGGAGGAGGGGGGGGGGGGCAAGAGCCAAGGGAAGGATGAGTTAGTGGGAGCCGGAAGGGGCGGGGGCGGATGGCGGAATGGCAGACGAACCAGGACGGTTGGTGGCCATGATGATCTTCACCTGGCCAAGGACGTCGAAGCCGTCCATCTGGTTGAGGAGCTGGAAACAGGACAGACGAGGAGGGAAGAGGTTCGGGAGGGGGGGGGGGACATATGAGTCAACGAGATGGAGCGGGGCGCAAAAAAAAAAAGACACATGCGCAGACATACCTCCATGAGGGTGCGCTGAATCTCACGATCGGCCGACGTGCCCTCGGAGAAACGCCGGCCACCAATGGCGTCGATCTCATCCATGAAGATGATGCATGGCTGGTGGTCGCGAGCGTAGTCTGTGCAATGGGAAAGGCGGGGTCAGTGAACGGTCGGCTGCTAAGAGCAAGAGAGGGAGAGAGGGAGAGAGGGAGATGGAGGCACAAGGGGAGGGGCGAGCAAGGTCCCCCCCCCCCGCAAAAGGGGAGAATGGCGGCGCACCGAACATCTCACGGATCAGGCGGGCCGACTCGCCAATGTACTTGTCCACCAGGGCCGAGGACACGACCTTCAGGAAGTTGGCGTCGACATTGGACGCAATCGCACGAGCGATCAGGGTCTTGCCGGTACCGGGCGGGCCGTACAGGAGAACACCCTTGGGCGGCTTGATGCCCACGCGCAGGAAGAGGTCCGGGTTGTTGAGGGGAAGCTCGATGACCTGAAGCACACCCGGCAATCGGGGAAGCATGGAAGGGGGGCGCGAGAGACCGGGAAAGCGGTGGCGAAGGTGAGCCAAGCCGGAGGGGGAGGAGTGCTGCAGAAGGCAAGGGTGACGCACTTCGCGAATCTCGCGGATCTGCTCCTGCAGACCACCGACGGCGCTGTATGGCACGTCACCGGGATCCTCAACGGCCATGTTGTACACAAGAGGGTCGACCTCACGAGGCAGCTGAGAAGGGCCCGCCACCGGGGGGGGTATAGAAACGCACAGACGAAGGGGGGGGCGGGGGGGATGGCCAGTCAGCGGGGCGAGGTGGCGGGCTGGTGGGGGGGGAAACACCGTGGGAAGGGATGATGACGGCCCGCAAGCCGGCAGCAAGTACCTTCTTCATGATGGTCAGAGTGGTCATGTCCAGAGACACGCGCGTGCCCTGGGTGAGCTTGGTCTTGTCGATGCGGGTCCGGCAGCCAACCACATAGCGCGGGCCGTTGGAAGCCTTGACGATGACTGGGCGCGCGGGGCAGGTGTGTCAGGAGCAAGCGGCAAGAGGAAGATGGCCCAGGCAGGGAGGCAGACGCACAGCGCTCATCGTCAAGCTGCTTCAGCACCTCGCCGACGATCTGACCGACGGACTGCAGGGCCTTCAGGTCATTCTCCGACTTGTTGATGTCGCGCTCGAGACGGTCATTCTCGGCGCGGACTGCCAGCGCGAGGGGAGGAAGAGCACACCAAGGGGGCCGGGCGGGAGAAGGGTCAGAGAACGCTCGAGGAGAGAGGGGTGGTTTTGGAGGAAGGGGGCGAGGGGGGAGGGGCAAGGAAAGCCGGTCGGAGAGACGCACGCGTCTGGAAGCGCGAGCTGACACGCTCATAGCGGTTCTTCGAATCGGTGAACTTGTTCAAGAGCGCGGCACGGTCGGACATCTTCTCTTCTTCTTGGTGTTCGGCCGGGGATCGCTGGCCACGACATCACGCGAACCGGGCCGGAGGAAGGCGGGAGGGTCAGTCGCGCGTGGGAGGCAACAGGGGCAGCAAGACAGGCCCAGGGGATGAGCGGAGGAGGGCGAGGGGGGCGGCGGGCGGGGGAGGGAAA